TTGCATTTGTATGTAAAATTATGCTCTAAGTAGATAATTAGATTAAAAGCTATAACTTGCTAAAGCTTATTGATTAGGATTACGACTTGCAAAGAAAAATCAAAATTGCTTAATTATAAAAGTAATAAGGCAATTGGAGTTTATGTATGATTGAAATTACTAAGAAGAGTGTTTTTGAGAAATTTATATTGGATTTAAGTACTTTTGAATTAAAATTCAAATTACATTCTTCTTATAATAGAAAAATATATTATGATTTTTAAATACTTATAAAACACAACCTCACCTTCCATAATTAGATACCTAGTGCATTTCCAAATAAGATGACATGTAATACGATGTTGCTCTTTTAGAAGATTCTATAAATGGATCCTACTTAAATAACTTCTCTTAGTTTTTCTAAGATGTTCTATAGTGGGCTCTAATTCTAAAAACTTTTAGAACTTTCTAAAAACGGCTCCAATTATCTATCTCTATGCATCATTAATATAATTATCTTGTCCATGCTCCATTATATTTTATCTCCCAAAAATGAAATTTTTCAATCTTCTAAACTATCATTCTTTGTTAATCAAAAATTACATCTATTTTTTTTGGTATAAAATAAAAATGTCAAGAAAGTGTATTTAAAAAATCTTGTTGATTTTTAAATTGATATGTGATCTTAAAATCAAATCTTGATAATTACATGTTCCAACAAGCTAGGCAACAAATCAATATCTGGATTAATATAAAATACTTAAGATTCTTATGATTTGTATATATAGTGATTAGATTAAAAGTGTCTTCAAAATAGTGACACCATTTTTAGAAAGAATCCATAATTATAAAAAGTTCTTTATTATAGATTTTATGATTGATTTATGTTGCTCAAAATTTCTTCAAATAAAAAGCTACTAAGTGAACTTTATCATCTATTATCATTTGTAATAATATGGCATCCAAAGCAAAGTTTGATGCATTTGTTTTTATAAAGAATACTTAAAAAAAGTCAATGTGATATAAGATTGATGCAAAAATAAATTCTTTCTTCAAAACATTAAACAATACTTTAGTCTCTTTATTCCACTTAAGTTTGTCTTTACAAGTCAAATATGTAAGTAGAATCGTAGCTTGAAAAAAAATCTTAAGGAAGATCCGATAGTTATTAGCAAAGCTCAAAAAGCATTGCACTTTTCTAATTGTTCTTGAAAGCTTCCAATTTATGATAGTTTGGACCTTCTTTGGATCCATCATTAGACCTTTGTTGGAAATGATGTATCTTAGGAAATCAACTTGAGTAGTATGGAATATATATTTTTCTAACTTGGCATATAATCTTGCATCTCTAAGTTTTAAAAATAGATAACAAATATAAAGATTATATTCTTTTTTGTTCTTAGAATAGATTAGAATATCATCTAAATATCAAATAACAAAATCATCAAGAAACTCACAAAAATTATCATTTAAAAGATGTTGAAAAATGATTGGTATGTTTGTAAGTCCAAAAGGTATGACATTATATTTGAAATGTCTATATCTAATTCAAAAAGCATTCTTCCATTCATCTCTTTCTTTCATGTGAATCAAATTGTATACTCTTTGTAGATCTATTTTTATATAGATCTTTATTTATTTGAGTTGATTAAGAAATTTTGAAATAAAAAATTAATGATATCTATTTTTCATGGTGATCTTATTAAGTCCTTGATATTCTTCTTTTCAAAAACATCTTTAAAATCTTAATATTTATAGGAATACTACTTGAAGTCTTTCTACCATTAAAAATAGACATAATATATATAATAAAAAATGACCTTTTTTGTCAAATGCATGAAAGCTCTTGCACCTATCAGTAAGATTTTGGATGTACTAGACTTATATATTTTTACTTGACTAATAGGATTTTGAATTAAACTTCTAAAAAAACTAAAGTTACAAGAAATCTAATTTATTTGAAGATTGTATTTTTATAACCGTGATAATTATAAAATAAATGAATTAAAAAAAGATCTTATCACATTAAATATTACTATACTATTATGATCTTTAAGTGCTGTATCTAAAGGAATAATCTCATAGGTAACACCTCCAAAAGATAACAAATGACCATCTATGACTTCAACATGTACAGATTTAGTTTTCTTGACTAAAAATATTTCTTGCTTTTTGACAAAGTTTTTATCTATAAAAACAAGCTGAGGCTCTTGAATCTAATAATAAAAAGGTTTTTTGATTTTAAGGTCCTAAATATATATCTATTATAAAACTAGATAAAGGATCTAAAGAAAGAATAGGACCTTTGTTAGGTGCAATACATGATTCCAACTACATAGTTCTTATAATAGCTAAAAAAACTTGTTTTTTGACACATTGTCTTCTTTGGCAATTGTACTCATCATGTTGTGATTATATTGCTTCTTTGAATAATATTGAGCAATAAACTTAACTTTTCTATAATATAAACACAAACCCTTCTAATGACATTAAATCTTTTCTTGCTCCGCGAGGGATTTAAAATGTACTATATCAATTCTTATTAATTAGGAATGAATTTAAATCATAAAAAAGTTATGAATATTTTTCTATTAAAGGTACAAGTTATGAGAGAACACTTTTAAATACAAATGTGCTTATAAACTCAACTTGAATAATTTCATCAAAGTATTGGAAAGGATGCAACTTTAAATATAACTTGATTTGTAATCCTTGAAATTTAGAACTTGTTCCATTAAACTTCTTAGGCACACTAATTCTTGTCCCAATCATACTCATAGAAGCAAGTCTTCTTGGATTTTGTTATAAAATTGTTAAAATATAATATAAGCATGTATATTAAAAAAGATTTATTGGTTGATATAAAAAAATAAACAAAAATATTGTCAAAATATGATATTTTATTTAAATGACATAGATTGGTGTAGATTAATGCTAAAACTTCAATGGCATATATACATAACCACCTTCGCTAATATTATATAGTCTTGTTGCACATCATTCAACAACTGACATAATACCAAAAAATCTTTATTGAAGAACCTGAAAATATATGCATCAACAACCATGTATAGTAAAGCAAGTTTAAAAATCCAATTTTTTTGTTAAGATAATGTAATATATAAATATTTTTATAGTAATATCTTATATTCTTTCTAAATTAATATGTGTATATATATATATATATATATATATATATGTGTGTGTGTATATATATATACAAATGTAAGTTTGCTTACTATAGAAATAACCATTACTAAAATGTATTTTATGACTTATAAGACTATTATAAAAAAGTGCATCATACAATTTATTTTTATTTTGTTCTATCAATGGTAGAAAAATTATTTTGTAAGAATCCATAAGAATATGTCTGCATCATGATATACAATACTTTATCACAAAAAAATTATAATCTCAATTTTGTGCTCTATGTAATATAATTGGATGCAGCTTGGAAAAAAACATGATATATTTGCAAAGCATTACTTAATCCCAAGAAAATCATGGCTACATGAAGTTATAGTGAACCTTAACTACTAACTTTCAATAACTAGACATAATTAAAATATAAAGAAGAGCCACATACAAGAATCATGCATAATTCAAAAGAAGAAACATCAGAAACATGGATTTTGTACCATGTGTTGGATGTAATGATACAATAAAATAAATAAAAATGCATGGTTATGAATGATTTTTGGCAATGTTTGGCAATGTTGGTTTGTATTCTCTCTTGAACTTGAAGGAGTGTTGAGGAATTGGAGTGTGGACCATTCTCTAGCTTCTCAGTCAACACCCATCTTTCATGTTTAGGTCACCAGCATCAACCTGGACCACGTTTTGATGGTGGTGGCTTTTTCAAAAGTGGAAATTTCAATATCTTTTGTTTCACATTCTGGTTATTCTCCAGCATGTTTGGACAATGCATCATGTAAATATTATTCCTACCACCTCCAGTATAATTACATTCACAACTTTCACGTGTATCTCAACTTCATCATCGGATTCCTCTCATTTGCACCAATTTTGACATTCCCACTGAAACTTCCCTCTTGAACTTTTCGGGCCTTTCGTCGTCAACGTTTCAGTTCCTTGCGCCATGAAAAGCATATTGAGACAAAAAACAAAAACAAGAAATGTGCCTCTAAAGTCCGACTGTATAAACATTATCGTGATTTTTATTTTCAATTTTTTATTTTTCTCGATTGTGTTTTCCGTCGTAGCCATCTCCTTGATCCATGACCCTATCATTCGGTGAAATATCGTGACAGTGTGTGTTTAGAACGCAACTTGTCCGGGTCGATTCGAATGGAAGAAACTCCAACGACAAAGGATTAAGAAATTTTGACCAAAATTGCAAGAGGGTCAAAAGAGCCAAGCGTGATTGGACAGGCCTCCGCAAATGGACTGAAATAAATTCATCAAGACAAGATATAAAACTGGGTGACTGTAGAGTGACTGGTGCACGTGTTTTACCAATCCTGACTTTGCGTAGTCGTTTTAGAGCCATAGCTTTGATTCAAGTGATTCAACAGCAGCATTGCTCTAAGAATTCCTCAACAATGGAGTAATCAAACTGTTCGGTTGTTATTAACTAGGGGATGGCGCCCACAGCTGCCGCAACTGGCTTTAATGTGCAGTTGGAGAGGGAGGAAGAAAAACTACTGTCCGGATTTGAGGTGTGAGAGGTGAATCCAGATCCGAGACGAAGCGAACTTCAACCACTCCTCGGTGACGGAAGAGGAATGTTGGGTGCACAGACCTGACAACATTCGAAATCTTCTGCTGCTGGGTGGCCACGAGTCTCGTCGTCCCCTTCAGCGCGACGCTTTCCACCTTCTTCCTCGGAGTCGATTCTCCCATTCCTCCCGCGCCATCTGTCGCACCCGGCCTGCTCGCAATCTTCCTTTCCCTCGATGCTGACATCCCCCCCCCCCCTCCCTCCCCCACCATCCTCGCAGCAGCAGCTCACCAGCTACAGTTGCTATGTATATCCATCGAGCCAAACTTCAGTGGATTGTCTCATCTAAACGCCGTTGAAGCACGGAAGTGTCCCCTCGTGGCATACCTCGCACTAGACATGCGATTAGAGGTTGCGGGGTCCAGATTTTACTTCTCGATGAATCGCCGAAGTGGCAGGTTGGCGCTTGGTAGATCCGCAGTGTGACTCGAGACGTGGGATTAATTCTGCAAAACTTGGGGGGTAGTGTGAGCAGTGCGCGGGTTTTGAGAACTGATGAATTCTGGATGCGAGTATTCGCAGGGGTGGTTTTTGGGTAAATGGGGTTTTATGGTGAGGCGACTTGTTGCGAAGGCTTTCTGCAGAGGTGGGATTTTTCAGAGACGCTGAGGGAGAATTTGAGAGATTTAAGTCTTGAGAATCATGAGGAATGAATGCGGCCGTGGACAGGTTGCGACTACTGCAAGCAAGGGGAGAATTAATGGTGCGGAAAGATTGCGACATTGAGCCTCGGGTGACAAGCTTCTATCTCCGAGGTGAAGCCACATTCGTCAGGGCATAGCCAAGTGTGATATGAGTTACCCCCCTTTGCTGGTCTCTTTCAGAATTGCAGAATGGTAGTTATGCTAAATGATATTGCTCTCCCTGGTGAAGGCTGAACAATGATGTGTGTTTTGGAGAGAGAGAGAGAGAGAGAGAGAGAGAGATTTTAATTCTTGCCTTGGCTGATGTGAGCAGCAGCAGGCAAGTTCTAAGCAGAGAGGGCCTCTATGGCGCCGTCTACGATCCAGGAGGCAAGCATGAGCGCGGGGGAGCGCGTCTCCGTGCAGATAAATCCCAGGAATCGGCTACCTGATTTTCTGCAATCAGTAAACCTCAAGTATGTAAAGCTCGGATACCACTACTTGATCACCCATCTCCTCACACTCCTCTTCGTCCCGCTTTTGCTGACCATACTCTTGGAAGTCGGCCGCATGGGGCCTGAAGACTTGCGACAGCTCTGGGATAATCTGCGATTCAACCTGGTGAGCGTGATCACGTGCTCCGCCCTCTTGGTGTTCATCGGAACCATCTTCTTCATGTCGCTCCCCAGGGCCATCTTCCTTGTGGATTTCGCATGCTATCTCCCCGAGGAGAAGCTTCAAGTCCCGATCCCATTGTTCATGGAGCGCACACGCTTGGCGGGATTCTTCGACGAGAGGAGCATGGAGTTTCAGGAGAAGATCTTGGAGAGGGCGGGTCTAGGCCCCAAGACTTACCTCCCCGCGGCGATGCACGCCCAGCCGCCGTGCCCGAGCATGAAAGCAGCTCGAGAGGAAGCAGAACAGGTCATGTTCGGATGTCTGGACGAACTTTTCGAAAAGACGAAGATCAAACCAAAAGATGTCGGTATCCTTGTCGTGAACTGCTCCCTCTTCAACCCCACGCCTTCCCTTTCCGCCATGATTGTGAACAAGTATCGAATGCGTGGCAACATCCGCACGTACAATTTGGGCGGAATGGGATGCAGCGCGGGCGTGATCTCTATCGATCTGGCGAAAGATTTGCTTCAAGTGCACGGCAATTCATATGCTATCGTTGTGAGCACCGAAAACATCACACAGAACTGGTACTTCGGCAATCGGAGGTCTATGCTCATTCCCAATTGCTTATTCCGTGTCGGCGGATCCGCGGTCTTGCTCTCCAACAAGCTCAAAGATGGCTCCCGGTCCAAATACAAGCTCAACCACGTGGTGAGGACTCACAAGGGTGCTGATGACAAGTGCTACAATTGCGTCTATCAAGAGCAGGACGAGCAGGGCATCTTGGGTGTTTCCCTCTCCAAGGACCTCATGGCTATTGCCGGAGAGACTCTGAAAGTCAATATCACAACATTAGGCCCGCTTGTGCTTCCTATCTCCGAGCAGCTTCTCTTCTTCAGCACACTCGTCGCCCGAAAAGTCTTCAACTTGAAAGTGAAGCCTTATATCCCCGATTTTAAGCTGGCCTTCGACCATTTCTGCATTCATGCAGGTGGAAGGGCCGTAATCGACGAGCTGGAGAAGAACCTGCAGCTCACTGCCGAGCACTGCGAGCCATCACGCATGACCCTCCACAGATTCGGGAACTCTTCTTCCTCCTCGATATGGTACGAGCTTGCGTACATGGAAGCTAAGGGTCGCATACGGCGAGGCAACCGAGTGTGGCAAATTGCCTTCGGGAGCGGGTTCAAGTGCAACAGCGCCGTCTGGCAGGCGTTACGCAACATCAAACCCCCCGAAAAGTCTCCGTGGGCGCATTGCATTCATGAGTATCCTCAACATCTGGATGAGATTCAAAAATTCAACTAGGTCTTGCTTTCGCGAAATTGGTGTTGTTTCATTAGCCTTCTGGATTGTCTCGGGTGGCCAGAAAGAGCCTCCTCGCTACATCGAACCGCAGCTCATCGTTGAAAAGCTCGCTGAATAAGCCCAAAGTAGGCATGTTTGAACACCGCATTATGGTTTGTTCTGGCGATTGTACAGCAAATCGAAGCAGTTGACATGTGTTCGTAATCAATAATATGTAGATTGATTGCAAATTCATGCGGAAACTAATCTCTACTTGTATTAGTGATCAACTTTGCAAGTACTTACACACAAGGAACTGCAATCCGAAGTGCAGGTTTTAACACAAATTGTTAATTTGATTTGCAAATCCCTCAACAACGAACTGGGTACAAATTTTCGGCTTTTCTTACTCAATTTCAAACATTCAAACTTTGACCCATGCTCCAAAGCTTCACCAATCGACACAAATCTAAAGAAATGTGTCTAATAGCAATAGGTATTTGCAATCCCCAGAGTACATGGATGTGGATCGTGCTTAGTATTTCAACATCCTACAGGCAGAATGATATGCACCCCTGGGGAGAATCCAAGGAATGACAGAAGAGTTGATTTGCCTGATCCTAGCACCAAAATGATGAACTTTAAGGGATAACTTAGCCTGCGCTACCTTCTGCGGGGTGTTACACTTAGGGCTTTGAACAGCATTCTTTGCAGAGGATCTGTTTCAAGCAAGCACGACAGGGTTTGCTGTCAAGTACTGTCCTGATCTACATCTTGAGGTAAAGAATTATTAGCAAGCTCCAACTATCCATGCCAGATTTAAGAGCAACTCAGGTCAGCCCCAATACGTTAGCAAGATATGAAAAGCAACAGTGACCCACTCTAAAATTGATGGATATAGGTTCACCTTGAAATATCGCCATATATCAATACTCACTTTTTCACACATTGAATTGCAAGATATAATATGTACAGTGTAATGATCAACTTAAAAATAATCAGTTGAACCATAAATTGGTGTTTAATTAAAATATGAGAGAATTGAAGTATTGTTGACATCATTCTATTCAGCAAAGACGTGAATAATCTCTCAGTTTCCTACACAAGAGCGGAAGCGAAACTGATCATCATGTCCTGCTTGGCACTCACTTTTTCAAAAAGTCATTTGAAATGCCAGATTCAGCGCTAGATTCTTTGCGGGAATCAAGATTCATGGTGACGGGGCCGTCATTTACCAGAGAGACCTGCACATTACCGAGGCTTTCTTAGAACAAAAATATACCTCAAAAACTGTCCCATTACAACAAGGACTTTGTTTTCTTCTAATCAGCCACAGCACACTTATCTAGAAATCTGATCCACTTTGCTTTACTGGATCGAAAAAAATAATATGTAAGAAGCACAATCTGACATAAAATATAGAGGACTGTACGAACCTGCATCATTGCTCCAAAAACCCCGTCTGCAAGAGAACAAGCAACGCAATGAGACCCTGGGTTGGTACCCAATCACATCAACACAAAGAGACTCCAATTCCAAATTCAAACACACTCAACCTGTTTCGGTGCAGCTTGAAAGCTAAGAATTATCACCTTTCACAGCGTCAGGTTTGTAAGCTTTCCGAACTCTTTGGACAAGGGATTCATAAAATGATTTGGCAAGCTGCGGGGGCATGGCTACATGGAAGTCCGGTTTGTTGCCTTTCAACACTCCGTACAAAGTGAACTGGCTGACTGCAAAACATACCACCCATCGACCTCCGGTTGGAATACATGTGCAAGCAATGGTTTTAAGAATCAGTCATTTCTACAACAGAAACATCTTAATGAACAAGTTTATGAAAGTTACGAATCTGTATTAAAGAGATTTACCAAGCAAGACTTCATAATTCTTTTGCATCACCTGCAGCAAAGTGTAGGATCAAATAATTAGTTTCTCGTTTGCACACTTCTTCTATGAAGATGGTTTTGCATGGCACATCATTTTTCTGAAATTGTTGTTATCATTTTTCCTGGCGAAAACAAGCACCTTGACGAAGGTAAGACACGTTCATTGACAACACGAACACAACAGGTCAACTACACAGCTGGTCGAGAATTGCAAAGAATAAAACCAGTTGAAATAGTTGGGCCTCTTTTGTGTGAGAAGAATGCTCTTAATAATTACATAATAAAAACCCTAAGTCAGAAGAAACAAGTCCGAAAGTTCGAGAGCTCACGTTCTGGTCCCACGATTTGCCAGTCTTCTCGTTCTGGAATAGGCGCATGTTGAGGATCTTTCGGCAGCTGAAAATTTCCAGAAAATCAAATTAAAAGAAAAAAAAACTTAGCACGAAGTATGATGCAGTCTTCGAATAGGTAAGCGAAGGTGACATTCTAATTCTTGATTCGTTGTTCCGAGAGAGTACAGAACAGTCCAAGGAAGGTCTAAATGAGCAAATCTGAATTTGTAAGCAGTAGCAAATCTAAAATGTTCAAATAAAATTTATGTAATGATTAGAACTGGAAGATAAATACAAACATGAATTCGGAGTCTACGTCAGTGTCGGAGTCGAGGAGTCCCACAAGCACCAGCAGGCCATCGCCAATTTCGGATACTATCTTGCCATCCACCTGTCAATAAATACCCAGAATCCCATAACCCATTTCAACAAAGGCATTCAAATTTTGGACCTAATCAACTGAAGATGAGAAACAGCAATACCCAAAAAAAGAACTACAAAAGTATGATGCTGTCGCTTCCAATCAAATGCACTCTGAAAACTCCCATGATTGAGTAAAACGAAGAAAATGCGGTGCAAGGGAACCGGCGACTCCACGTGAATGTAGAATCTCTGCAAATTCTGGGGCCTTTCGTTGATTAAATGCAAAGCGAGAGAGTTAAATAGCATCGCAAGCTGTACATTCACTGCCATCAACTTCATTCACCTATCTATACTCCTCCAAGTTCACATTCTCAACGATCGAAATCCCTAATGAAAAGTATGAATACTACGTAAACCAGGAATCAAGGAAGTCACCAACGAGCAGCGTTTGAGAATAAGTCAAGAGAAGCACCTCAATGCGTGCAGACGTGACTCGCTGCACCACAGCCCTCATAGCCTCTTTGTGAGCCTTGAAAATTGAAACCCAACCACAGAATTTGAACTTAAAGCACCTGCAACCAGGACACACGATGTTCAATCGATAGACCCCCAGCAACGTTTGAATGCAAACACTACACCTTTATTGGATTGACAAATGTGAGCCAGTAAACTGTGATAAGTGGAGCTTACTGTCTTCCCAGTCTCGCACTGCAGCAATTAAAAACTTCGTGGCAGGTGAGAGAAGGTTCACAACGCTGAAGAGGAAACAAAATTCCTCGTTCCTGGTTGAACCCAAACCCTTTGAGCAGGGAGGAAGGCGAGGATTACAGCTCAGATTGGGAAAACCCACTTCACTTAGTGTACATCTGTAATCCTGTTCATCCTTGTCCACAATATACCAGATTTTATTCCCCAGCAACGACACCTTTTTGTTTTCGAAAACCCCTCTACGACCCTCAATTATACGGTGGGTGAGGTGTTTCAATTAAGAAGTACAGAACCCTCGAACTTCAAGTAAAAAATACCGAAATTCCTCAAAGGCAGGGATCAATCATGCTTATTAAATCACGTCTCTCCTTCAAACAGTTTCAAATCGAATCATGTAATTAATTTACTGCGAAATATGTGTGTTGGACAATTCTACCATTAAAAACACAGAAACCCTTGGTTGCCGCAGGCATAGATCTTAGCACCAACGAAAATAGTTCTGACACACTCAGACAACGGACGCAGGAAAAGAGGACAATGAAACCAGTAAAATTTCACATGTTACCTGGTTTCACATTCTCTCCTTTAGAGCTGAGGCTATTATCACAGTGGTCGGAGTAACTACTGGGTCTACGTGGGAAATGACGAACCGGTTCTTGGCAAGGCGTGGGTCTGTATTCTTCCTTCACACTTTCATATTGCTCCATGTTATTCAATTCCTCTTCATTTGAGCTATCAAGGCTACTTCCAGCAGCACCAGTACTGTGTTGAGAGCGTTTGAAATCGGCAACAATTTGGCACTGTGTTGAGTGAGTTGGGGAGTTGCAACCATGGGCCAGGATGTCGAGAAGAGGCCCGTGGAAGTTGTGCCGCCTTCGGTTCTGTCACGTGAGCACAATCAACCACTCATTTGTTTTTTGGGGAAAGTTTTCTTTTTTCTTTTTTCTTTTTTCTTTTTTTTCTTTTCTCTGTTGTTGTTTTGTTCAATTTTGTTGTTGGGCTAGGTTTCTGTGAATGGTCGGGGTTTGATTAGCAGAAGGCGGTTTGGTATGGACTAGGACTTGATGCAAAATGAGATACGCGCATGCTTTGACTGGGATGCGTTTGTCGAAGGAGGGATAGTTTAGGGTGCATTTATTGGGATGGTGGTAGCAGAGGAGCTATCTGCGTGATGGGGTTTTGAGTGATGAGAAATTGGCATTTGATTTCATTAGGGTTTGGAGGGGGGGGGGGGGGGAGTCGCGATTGTGAAAGTTGGGATTGAGGAGTTGGCGTTCGATTATGGCATGGGGGTCGGTGGTATCTTGATGCCATCTTTCTTGTGTGCGTGAATTACAGAGTTGAAGGGAGTAATCGCTTCTATAGAGAAGGGAGTTTTGAATAAGGAGATGCGGTTGATGGCTCGAGCCAATCGCCAGATGTTTGCTGTCCGTCGACAGTTGAAAACATCCACTGTGAGCGCAATCATGAAGCACGCTCTTCCTGCTGGTTCCGACGCCTTGGCTCGCCTGTCGCCTTTCGTTGCTGCGGTATATACTCTGGACCCAAGGTGTTTAATAGAAAGCTTAGGGCTTGAACATGAATGGGTGCATTGGCTGTAACACGCTGCAACATCTGCAATTAGAGTGAGATATAGACTTAGCTCTGCGGAGATATGCCATTAGCGTTGCTGTTTGTGACGGATGGCTGTCGAATCCTCAATTTCCTTTTTGAGTTTTTTCTAGCGTCCATTGCGTTATATTTGTAGGACCTGCCAGAAGACTATATGTTTTGCTAAGACAAATTCAACGACATTCTAGCATGATTGGATGTAGTCCTAGTTCTCCAACATACTAAGAAGTCTTGGTTATTTATAATAGAACTGTTTCCCTTGGGTCTCTTTTTGTTTGCGCATGTTCCTTCATAATTGAAGATGTGACAGTGCAAGATAAATAGAAGATTTTACTTTGTAAGCCTTTTCTTTTTTCTTTTTTCTTTTTTTGTGTGGTCAAATCAAAGTATTTATGCTCTCCTGTAATCTGTTCTGAGATTTTGTGTATTTCCAATTCACAACCACGAGTAAGGTAGATCTTTAGCTAAAAGTATGATTCTGTATGTTCACTTTTCAGCTTGAAAAGAGTGAGAAGGACATGGACGTGGATAGCCCTGCAATCACTGGACAGTCCCATGGTTCCCAGAAGCAATCGGTGTTGCCTGAAGTAGAAATATTTTGCTACTTATTGGTTACTATCTTCTTAATTGATCAGAAGAAGCTGAAAGAGGTGCGCACTATTTGGGATCTACATTCCTTCATTGTCTGTAGCCTAGCCGTATCTTTCACAAGCCTACAAGGTTGAATTTGTGCCATTGCTAGAAAACGTAACGCTTAGGGTGAAAGGAACTATGTAGGGGTTGCAATTGGCCATAAGTCGTACCGCAGAATCAGATGCGTGGTTTTGCAACTAGCCTACCAGGGGATACTTATTTACATTTGGTGCTTGGTTGGTTTCAGGCAAAGGCTTGCTCAACAGCAGCTGTCAAAAGACTTCAACAATTAAATCGTCGAACTCTAGATTTTTTGGCTGCACGAGTTTTTTACTATTACTCTTACAGCCACGAGATTACAGACTCTCTTGCTGACATCCGTGGGTGAGATACTCACGTTAGATGATGCCTCAGCTCTCGTCTAAAGTTTCAAGCTTTTCGTCTGGAATTTGATCTCCTAACTTTCGACCTTGATTATTTTGCTATTAGGACTTTACTTGCTTTGCACCAGACGGCCACACTTCGACATGATGAGCTGGGGCAGGTTTGCGATCTTTACAAATGGTCTTTCATGTGTACTAGGCTGCTTTCCAAGCTCCCCTTGGATTTGTGTTGGTTAGATATTCCATAATTCGGTGTGCATCCCCTGGTTGTTCGTGAGTGGAAAGTACATTATTTTACTTGGTTAAATCAAATGCAGAACTATTTATTGAATATGTTAGTTCTTATTTATCAAGGGTCTACAGGAAACTCATGGGCTTTTTTTACTGATTGATGGTGGTGGATAATCTTGATCGAGTGTGCAGGAAACATTATTGAACTTGCTGCTACGTAATTACTTGCACTATAACCTTTATGACCATGCAGAGAAGCTTCGGTCAAAAACTCAACGATCCGATTCTCACTCGAACCAACAGGTAGGTGGTGTTTTATACTTTTGACATGGATTCTATTCTTCTGTGAAGTGGCTGAACTTTTCTGACATGGTTTATTTGGCCGTGCAGCTTTGTCGGTACCTGTTCTATTTGGGAAAGATTCGAACAATTCAATTAGAATATACTGATGCCAAGGAGTGCTTGCTGCAAGCAGGACGAAAGGCCCCAGCTAGTGCTAGAGGTTTCAGGATTCAGTGTACAAAGTGGGCGGTTATTGTGCGCCTGCTCTTGGGTGAGATCCCTGAACGCACCACGTTCATGCAACCTGGGATGCGCAAGGCTCTCCGACCTTACTTCGAGCTTACCAATGTCTGTATCTTCACTAACTCAACATGTAGTATGTGTTTGTTACGAGTTAACTCGTGAATTATTAGGATTTCTTTGCTCTTATATATCGCAGCTGTACTTTTGCATAGTTTCTAGCCTTGATGAATCAACAATACCAGTGATTTTATCTTCAATTTCTTTAACTGCTGGTGCACAAATCTAATGGACCTTTTGCTTGGCAGGCGGTGCGTATTGGAGATTTGGAGCTGTTCCGCCATGTTGCAGAGAAGTCTTCAAGTGTTTTTACTGCTGACAAGTGCCACAATCTGATTGTGCGCCTGCGACACAACGTCATTCGAACAGGTCTTCGAAATATCAGTATTGCTTACTCGCGAATCTCGTTAACTGACGTAGCTAAAAAATTGCACTTAGATTCTGCTACACCTGTGGATGATGCCGAGAGCATTGTCACAAAGGCTATTCGAGATGGAGGAATTGATGCGTCTGTGGACCATTCTAATGGCTGGATGCAATCCAAAGAAACTGGTGACGTCTATTCAACTCAGGTACGTCGAGGAGAGAGATTCGCGAAGGGGAGATTTGATGGAATGCATACTGTAAATCCTCTTGGTTGAGGTGCTCCCGCGGGTCTAGAAGTTAACTACTCATTTCTGAATAGTAGTCGTTTTGTAATTTCAAAAGTAGTAGATTATCTCAAGTGAACCTTACCCTATTTGATTGGATTATACTAATTAGGGCTCAACTACTCGACATTCATTTCGCTTAGTTGGTTTTCACAAACAATTTAACCTGGAATTGAAGTTATGAGTATTTCATGATTGCAGGAACCTCAGCAAGCATTTCACTCTCGAATTGCGTTCTGTCTTAACATACACAATGAAGCAGTGCAAGCTTTGCGATTCCCACCTGATGCTCACAAGAAGGAACTGGAAAGTGCTGAAAAGCGCCGTGAGCGTCAGCAGCAAGAGCAGGAGCTTGCGAAGCACATTGCAGAGGAGGACGATGATGAGTTTTAGATAGCATACTAGGTTTTTCATGATAGATCATATGTTCTCCAGCTTCTTCAAGCTCCTCGAAATCTATTTTTTTGTCTTTTCGTGGAAATTCTTCTTGTAAAGCCTCCAATCGAGATTGGATAACGAGCTCTTGCAATGGCTCCCAGATGTAGGGATATCATGTCCCCACTCTTAACATGAGCTATGTACAGGAATTCAAAAGGTCGTTCACAGATGTTGATACGCCTATGTAGAAAGTAGGAAATTTTCCTCACATTTTGAAGTTGTGGAACTGACTGTCAGTGTTAGTAATATGTCCTGATTGTTATCTGAGACTGAGTAATCCCACTTTCAGATCATGATGTCAGCTGGAGGATTTATTGAAATCCGTAAGACTGAAATGTTGAACTGAAACCTGTGGATCGTTCTTGGCGGTTTCTTGTCGCGCGCAGGGATATTGGAAGAGCAAGTTGTGCAGTCTCGTCGGTAGGGTCTAACTTGCATATTGATACAAGTTTGCACGGTGTAGGATTATTAATGCCTTCAGGAGTTCCCGGCCCTTTGATGTATATGGCTATCCGCATCTTGGTGACTGAGTATGTCAAGCTGGACACAGGGCTCCTCTTGCATTTCATGCAGTTTTTTAATTTTTGCTTTGAGTATGTCCCACCATCCAAGTCGTCACTGAACTGCATAGCAATACCATTGCAGGCTGAAACGTTCATGTCTGTGCACAAGCAACTGCGAATCATACAAATGATGGGTTTTGAAGGTTTTGGAGAGGCTATTGATCCTGTAGCGGGGCTATAGAGTTTATAATCAAATATTTCTGTTCACGAAGACACCATCAAACCTTTTAGTAGCTTTTATTTTGGGAATGTGCGGCTTAAGATCTTTTGGTGTCACGGATAATAAGGAATTTTCGAATATATTATCAATCATCAGTCTAATGCATAGCGTCAATCAATTTTTTTCTAAGATTAGTTTCTGAACGGAGAAAAATAACGTCGCAATTGCCAGTAAAGAGATGGAGTTGTCTCTGAGCAATTGGATAAAATTGAGAGAGGAGAAGAATAGACAGTGCTATGAACATGCAGGCCCTGAGTCCTCACATGATGGAGCAAGGGGTTGTGGTTGTTGATGGGTTGGTGTTTCTTGATGTTGCGGATCAATTGGTGAAGCAGGGCGATCAAGGTAGGCAGATTGAGAGTCGTCGGCGGCCAGAGGAGGGGATTGAGGAGGTTGGTGAAGTCCTACAAGCAGAGCTTGTCCACACGTTACAAGAGCAGTGTTGCTTGCAGGAGGACTGAAGGTGGTGGAGGTGGTGGAGGCTGCGGCAGCAACGGCTAAGGTCTCGCGAAGCCTTGATATCTCCGAGGTTGCCAGTGCTAGGTGGGCTTGTAGTTGCGCCACCTGTACTCCTGCGTTCAACATTCTTTTCATTTTTCCCTTATATAGGACTCAAGTCTACAAGGACATACCATCCCATTCACTCAAATGTCTCGTGTAATACCAGCTACTACCAGAATCACTTGAACCCAACCTAGTTTGTGCGTTTCTGCAAGCCTTGTGATTGTTTTCAATTTTTTTTTATGTCTTGCCCATGAATTAAATGTAAAAGTGAGGGTTAGGTGATGGAGGTTTGACATTGCTAGTTTTTGCATAACAAGATTTTTAAGGGCAATCCTTTATGAAGTCGTTTGAACAGAATGCGTTCAAACAAGCTTTGTCAAGTTACTAGGGCTGCTGAGAAGGCAGCCCTAGAGAATTCTTGGTGACGCTTGGGCTCCCAGTTTTTTCACGAACGGTAAATTCTTGCAGCCGAAGCATGTGAAACAAGTTGCACGAATCAAGTGAAGTAAAGCCTCTTTCAGCCATCAGCTAATTTCACCGGATCCTTCCAAACGAAAGGTACTGATGAAGCGACACTTTCCTCAGGTGTTTTACATATAGAACCAGGCGAACTATAAATTCGTGCAAAAGCTAATAATCTCACGATGAAAATGAGGTCATACGTGAGAACTGTGCATTCTGATGAGGGTATTTTGAAAGTTTGAAGTTTATGAATCAGGAAGAAGTGGGTTGTCAAATATGTGGAGGAAGGATGAGGAAAGACCTGCTGCTGAAGGATCGATATGGCACCTACACAACCATACACGGGATCTTGAACGCGCGCATCCGCCTCATACGCCAGGGAATTCACACAATCTTCGCGGTGAGGTGGTGGCAAATCATGCAGCATCTTGGTGACGTTCGCGACGCCAAACACCTACCAGCCTTTCAATCTTTCCTCTTCAAGACTTCTTACTTTTGTAAACATCTCCACCTAAATACTTTTTTTTTACATATGTGCTGTAGTGTCCTACAGGTGCAGTAACTTTGCAGTCCTAAATGTTACCTTGCCCTTAGTACATTGACTTCTAAGTTCTTTATCTGGTGGAATATTTTTAAAGCATTAGTATTGTAGTTGTTGGCAGCATTAAGAGCACCCCTGGAAGTCAATTATCAAAGTCAAGTGTTTCTATTGAATCGAGAATGCATTCATTTGACTTCTTTCGTATCCATATCTGTTGTTATCTTTGCATCCCCAAGAAGCATGTGACCAAACATCGTTCTATTAGCTATAGAGTTGCCCTCTGATAAGAAACAAGAGGCTTTACGAAGTGAATCCCACTATTTACAACGGAAATCTAACTACGTTTTCAAATGTATTTGAGGTTTAGAGCAAGTTGTTTCATGTTTTCTATTGAGTGCTTACCAGACTCTGTAAAATATCTTCATTTTTCATTACAAATTGATCAGATGATGATTGATGCTACCTTTGTCATCAAGGCCGACCACACAATGCCTGATGATCCCAGAAGTTAATCTGGACATGTATCTGACACAGAATTCACAGTTGGAGAAACTCTAGGAAGCTGACCTATATTGGGCATGTCTTTAGTCTTTTGGGAGTGCTAAAGCTCCGGAACAATACTTAGACCAGATACTGAGATGGAGCAGAGAGCACACCTTGTGAACATGAGAAAACTTCTGTGGTTGGTCTGGGGGAAAGTAAGGAGCAAATAGGCATTGGGCAGTGCACTTCCGACGCAGTACTCGGCAAGCTGCACACGCCGATGTGCCTGGCGCCGATGCCATCACCATCCTCAAGCGGCGGTATGGATGCATCTACTCCTCTTTTATCCCACTATACAAGTCGCTTCTCAACTACTCTGACACTCACCAACATTCTGACCATTTCTCCATCTCACCTATCAGATTATTCTCTTTTTGCTATGTCCATTCTTTCGCTCCCACTTGAGCATGATTCTCACTCCGGTTGCCTGGCTCCTCATCTTCATGCGGCAGCGACGAGCTTTTGTAACCCCACTTGGTGGGTAACTTCTGCTGAGCTTATGCGCTGGACGGTTGGTTCAACGGCTGCTCTTTCCCTCTCTGGATCCCAATAGTTGGTTCGCCTTTTATCCCTTCCATGTTAGTAACAATACCCATCACTATCCAATGATCATTTTTGTTACCTCTTCATCTGAATTCCCAAAACTGTGTGTTAATGCCCAACCGGTTTCGGTTACCTGAGCTTAGGTTAGCTCACCAGATTCGGATGTTCGTTTGTGCTGTAGAAAAAATTTGCCGAGTTGCCAGCCAACATACATGAACTCAAATAGGCACAACTTTGGGCAACAAGGCAGGGTCACCCACATGCCTGTTGACACACCTTACTCGTAACATTAAATATGTGTATTTGGATTAGGACATGGTTTTGACTGTGAAGGTCTGAAAAAGTTATGTCGGTTGTGGATGTTATCTAAGCTGATTCATCCAGCTTCTACCAGCGTAACCTATTTTGATAATGACAGTGGTTATAATTTAACATCTTGACAGTTCGGTGGTCGTTGATCACAGTGACAAACTTCTATCAATAGTCATATCGGTTGCAATTTGAGTAATTTATTATGCAGATGGATACAACCAAGAATCGGATTGTAATGAATTCGGTGAAAGTGTCTGCCATGGGAATCAATTGCAGCAGTGCAATTCGGACAAAGAAGAGGTACACGGTTACGAGAGCGCTGATTTGATGGTGCCATAACCGAAAACTATGTTACATACGCAGCAAAATATGCTCCAGTCCGCGTCACGGCATCAGACATAACTCATTAGAACCAACTCTACAGTGTTGAGATGGGTGGCTAGCCCAGTGTAAGCATGCACAGAGACCGAGGGGAAAAAAAAAATCATGGTACTATTGGTATTTACTGCTACAATACACCTGACACTTGATAACTTGGCGATTTACAATGAACCCGGGGTTCACCATGATGCTAACTTTAGACCGAACGGAATCCTCGTCGAGTGTTGTCACTTGCTCCATAAACCGAGCGTCGAATTCAGACGACGGCGAGACGCGGAAGATGGATACGGGCTGGTCGAACGCGAAGGCAAGGTGGTGCACCAGCCAGACAGCCTTGACCGCGTTGAAGAAGGCAGCCATCAGGTTGAGAGAGATCTCGTTCTCTGCCAGTTTGCCGAGCTGGGACAAGATGAGCTCCATGCGCACCACAAAGAAGCGGTGGAAATTGGTGTTCACCACCAGGGCGCCAGGTCTGCCCAGGGATTTCTCGATGGTGGCCCATTCCTGGTTCTTTAGGTTCTGGTACGACTGGTAGCAGGTCTGCTTAAGAACGTCCGGATCGAAGACGGAAGAGGCGCCGTTGGGCTCGAAGCTGACGTTTTCGAAGCTCTCGAACATGACCTGGTTGAGGAAGCTCTCGAAGTACAAGATGATGACATTGCGTGGCATACGGCTTATCAGTCGTCCTACCTTGTGCTGCTCTAAGAGTGATGTGATCACTTGTGTAGCGGACTCGCCAGATTCTCGAATGTGATGGCATATCGATGAAGCCAACTTTCGTATTGAGTTTTTGGAGTCTTCGAAAATCTTGAGAAACTGCTCGGGTGTGAGCTCCATCGAAGAAAATCGGCGCTGCGGACCAGCTTCAGGGACATTGCTGGAACTGTCGCGCCAGCCAACGATGTAAGTTGGATTGTCGGAGTCTGGCTCCGAATCCCAGAGTCCGCTTCTGCGTGCGCTCAGCTGCAGCTCCAGTTCCTGACACCGTTGGGTTAACAATCTGCACTTCTCATCGTAAACCTCTACCGCCGACTGCAGCGCCCTCACTTCCTCCACCGCCGTCACACACTTCTGATTCGATTGATCCAGCTTGTAACGTAGCGTCTTTATAGTGTAATCCAACACTTTAATGGAATCCGTGTCCGCAATCACGCTTCCCTCGTCAGATTTGTCAAAAGAATCTGTCAATCTCATAGCTGGTGCTGTACAACTCGTCTTCTTCTTGCCCCAGCTCAGGAAGTTGAATATATTGTAGGAGCCCACTTTCTGTCCAGCCTTCTTCCCCCCAAGTCTCGGAGCCATGTCTGATCGCATCTCAAGCTCGCCAGAAAGTTCTGCAACATGATTCCGAAAACAAAAGGAATACCTGAGCACAATTGCAGGATAAATTAACCAATCCAAAATAGATCTGTCATGACGAAGAAAATATAAGCACAAACAAAAAAACCAACCTTCAGAAATTTCTATCTCATGAACGGGAGCCACCATGGCCTGACCGCCATCGCCGCAACCGCGCCAACTCGGAACTGGGCCAGCATTTGCTGCAGCGTTGGCCCTCCCTTTGCTACCGTGGAGGGAATTGTTCACGTCTCTGGTGATACCCCTCTCATCGGCCCTAACGCTCCTCAAAGCTGGTGAAACTGCCCGGAAGGACTTCCGCCACGTCCGTCCCGGAGACCTATCTTTTGAAACGGAAGGCCGGGGAGATTGATCCGACAAGTTACGAGACTTCAGCATCTTCTTTAGCTTCGCTGTTGATGTGAGTGGCACCTGCGCAGAGTTGCTGAGGGTGTGCTGGTGTGGGGATCGAGTCACGGATGCCGGCGGAAGCATGTTGCTCGATGACAGCTGCGAGTCGTTTGGATCGACATCAAACGTTGATCGTGGATGTTCCGGGCTAAGGGAGGTCAACTGATTTACCACTGGTGTCAATCCACCATTCTCTGTAACCCGAGGACTTGCGATGTGGATTTGGGTTAACTTAGGACTCTTCTCCAACGGTCTAAGATGTGGACTAACAATGTTGATGTTTTGAGGAGAATGTGGAATAGCCGTCATTGCGGGCATAGCAGGACTCGCACGTCTCGGGCCGGGTATATTGTAATTGCGCTGCCCTGGCGTGTTCGGAACTGAGGGATAATAAGTGGCACTTCCAGAGTTCATCGCAACGCCCCCAGAGGGCCGCTGCATTCCTCCCATGCCGGGGCTCATGACAGCCGCGGGGGGTTCCATGTACTGAGTCCCTCCACAGAGATGAGGACTGTTGTTTCGACTGATTGGTTTGGGGTAGCTAGTGTGTTCCAGGCTGGCCGCGCTCATGGAAGGGCTGAGGATGTGGCCTGTTTCGAAAGAGAGCGAGCGGCTGCTGTGTCCGATCGTGTCGGTGTGGATCTCTTTCCAGACACTTTGCCCATCCGAGTCTTGGAAACTTGTACGGCCTTGTTCTGAGCTACCCGTACGCGCGGCTGGTTCCCTAAAGCCCTGCGTTGAAACGTTTGATTGCCTCAGCGCTGAGGACACAACCCGTGGAATATTATATCTCTAATCTTGAAATCAAATGCTTACACTGCGTTGGGAGGAACTTCACGCAGGCTCACAATGTGTGAATGACCCATTATCATAAACTGACGAGACCTAATTAACGACAGTCAGCAAATCTCTACATCAATATAGAATAAAATAAAATAAAATAAAAGAATGAGGGACACTGAACTACTGAACAATGACTTGAAAAACATCTTGACAGCGATCACATCGGCAGGATACCAAACACGCCACCAAACATGGTATTCCCATAATCTGCCGCACAATATCTTTGACAACACAAAGAATATATTGTTACCGCTGCTCAATACAGCGGGGTATACAAGCATGACGTAATTCGGCCTTCAGGGTAACCATTTCGTTATGGGGCGGGCATTACATCTACCATACCACACACTATTCACGCAACCCAAAAACTGGCTCCACGCAGTACCACTGCTCAAAGAGAGAGTTCAAGAACGGAAGAGCAAACTTACAGGAGTAAATATTGGGTACTCGCGTTGAGGAGCCATAATCCGTCGTGCATGAGCTCGAGATTCCAAGCTGGCATCGTCTATCATATTGTCGCCATTAACTCCTAGCAGACTTCCAGCTTTTTGAATCCCCATCGCCCCAGTAACAACTCATAAACACACACCAGCACTGTCCAATACGCTGTCGTGCGCATGAATATTTCCCAAATCGCCACCGTCGCCCTCCACCCTCTTTCTGGAGTCGCAGCGCTTATCAAAATGCTCTGCTCTGTTTGCAAATCGATACAACGTGTTTCACTTGCCTCAACTTGTCCGCACCTTACCCAATGCACTAAGTTCACAGAGCGCAAACGCTTCTACAAACTCTCGCAGCAATCTCATTTCACTCAACCTTCGATACTCTAGCCGACTGGTTCCGTCTCCGTCGCCAACACATGATTACCAATTCTGTTTTTGAATCCACTCTCCCCGTGCCCACAACGCTAATAAACTTTGAAAATATACCGTAACAGGCCACCTCCTAGTACTCACAACCTAGAACACACTGTCCAGAGGCAGCTCATGATACCCAGCGTACACATGGAAGCCAACGCGCTGCAAACGTCACCGTGCTCAAACGAGATGCTAATCTGTAGGTTTCATGCTGGTAATTGCGCGGTATCCTTGCCTTGAAGACTATCAACTCGAACTCTGGTCCCAAAAATCTCCAGTAGAAAACGCCTTCGGGTGGGATATGAAGGGACGAGTAGAGGAATACGAGTGACGGCGCGGCAAAGAAGGAAATGGCCAGCTGCGTCGGTTACTACCATTCTCCCTCCACACAGCTATCCAACCTAGGATGCATTAATTGTAGTACATAGGCTTGGCGAAAATCCCAATTGACTGGGGTAGACCAGAGCTACGTACTGCCAATCGCCTTTCGACACGTAGCTTAGGCTTTCATGGTGAACTTCTCCTATTATTATCCCGACTATTAGTTCTTCTTACCTATTTGGACTCTTGTAGGACTGGTTCCAGGTCGAAGAAGAAGCAGATGAATGAATGCAAGAGGGCTTTGAAGAAACGGGTGCGGCCACAAGCTGCGGCCAAGTTTTCTATTTGTTGGTATCGACTTCATGCAATGCATCAATTGGGTTTTGAAAGCGGCAGTCCGTCTACAGACACCTCGAGAGCTGTATACTTGTTTGTTTGTTTCTGCAGATTCAAAATCTGTGACAAATGCCTGCAGAAGCTAGGCCCCTGCAATGGCGAAGCTTCAAAATTGATAGGCAACCCTACATGGGCGTGGAATCTACAAAGCTGGATGAGCTGCTCCCACTCACAAATAAGGATCTTCACATTCATGTATGTGCAAATATAATTTATAAATAAGAATTCTGACAAGTTTTGGACCATACGTATACAACTTTGAGCTGCATCCTTAGCAGGAAAGTTCCGAAGCCATCTAGATTCCAAAACATGAGGTTCGGTATGAATAGCATTCTTTGAGCCGTGGGATTGTGAATGGGATGAATGAGGATGAAGAACCGACGAAGAAGTCAATCATATCAACCATCTCAAGCTTTCAATAGACACTGTTGTCCATACTTGTGTTCCTGTCTAATGCCAAAATTTTCGTAAATAAATCTCTTTTTTCTCATTATCTCCAGGTGGGTTGCCCTCATAAGTTATCAAGTAATCTCCACATCACTCAATGATTTGTGTGTGAGGAATGCACCAATGCTTGAGCTTGGGGCCATGTCTTGCCTGAGCTGAGAATTGAAGCTCAAGGGCTGCAAGGGAATTGTGAGGCTGGCAGGATAAGGTGCCAATCCACTTCACTGGCCTCAAAGGCAAACAGTTCCTCTCAACCAGTCTTTTGGTCCATCAGTATTGGTTCCCATGCATTGGTCCTCCAGCATTGGTTCCTCTTGCAGTCGTCCTCCAGCATTGATTCTAGGTTTCCTCAAAGGAACCACGAGGTCTCTGAAGAGGACACAACAATCATTAACATTTTCTATAATCGTCTCATTGCTCATTTCACCGCACCAACTTACGAGCTCTACTTTTTACTCAAAATAACGTTCTCTCATAACTAAATGTCTCAGTTGTTCGCCCGAACCTGCAAAGCTGGGTGGATATTGTGGTATTAAAATTGATCCAGTTGAGTATTCAAAACAGCCTGTGGGTAATTCTAGGTGCATTAGTGAAGGGCGAGTGTTGAGTGAAGGAATCTGGCTTTCTGACACAAACTGACTGCTGTCATCCAATACTTGGCTTCCCATAGCATTAACTGTATAGCACAAAAATGGGCTGGGTATTAAAGCTTTTGTTGCTCCTCCAACCGAAGTGTTGATGGAAAGAATGGGCTTATATTTCCGCTCATCCTCGGCATCATACAGAACAGTTGTTACAGGAGTATATATTTCTACGATATGCATTGCTTTGACAACAACAACAACAAAAAATGAAATAGTTAAGGATTGCTGCTCCTGACAGAAGATGGATGTCACCCTTTTTCTTTCTTTGTGTTCACCCAGAATATGCATTTTTGTTGCCACGTTATAAAAGGTAGACATTTATCTGATCTACAAAAGCTTTGTGAGTTTCAAGTCTTTTAGGAATGATTGTAGACTCCTCCCACCGAAACAAGGAAACTTTTTTTGTCACCTACACTACTTTTTCGGCATCTCACAAAAATGAGAAGTTGGCTTCCATTGTCCAACTTCCAAAATTGGCTCGAGTGTGAAACATGAGTCCCACACTCATCCAAAAATCTCTCAAAAAAGTGATTTCACTCAAAGGATGAACTCACTGAAGCTGAGAGTGTAGCCATTTCGGCCTCTCCTTTCCGGAGAGCGAAGAAAAAAGAAAAACAGAACAAGTCTCCAGTTCTCCTTTACTTTTTCATATTTTGTCTCCCTCTTCCTTTCCCCGGATTTTGTCACATCTGCAAACAAATCATTTTTCAGGCTGATTTCCTAACTGACAAATTTGACACTTTAAAAGTTCTTTTTCGAACACACGTGTTTCAACACGCCCACAAATACAACAAAGAAAACGGTACAAAAACACACACCATGTATTAGTGCTAAACCTTTGGAAACTCAACATAACTCTTCAAGGAGCTCTGAAGTACAATTTTCTGTATAAAAATGGCCCACCTCTTTCTTTTTCTTTTCTTCTTTCTTTGCAGGGCTCTGTTGTCCATGCACCCAGTTTCTATTTCATATTCAGCCCTTCAGAATCCCTTCACCACTTGACCCACTGGACTGTGCCACCCTATGACCCACCCCTATGGAATTCCAAAGGGGGGGTTCATCTCATCACCTGCCTTCATTGATGGCCACCACCTACTTAATTTACTCGTCCTGGGGATGGAGGATGAAAAAAATACATTCATCCGTTCGTGGCAATTTGTGGCTACAAAAGAAAGGGAGTTGTCTGGCGCACATTGCCCTTCAGTTGCAGCCACACTTGTCCGTGTTGAATGATCTAGTCGCAAAAGGGATGAATGGTGATGCTTCCGTGCATGTGCGACTTCTCATTCATTCTATGATGGATGAATGATGATCCCTTTTTATTTTATTATTATTGTTGTGGGTAGAGCTGTGAAATCAGTTTGGCACTTCGAAATGAATCAACAAAGAATGTCCACAATAATAATAACAATGATAGAATCTTCAATGTTGACATGGAACAAATTATGAGGTTACTGAAGAATTTTTAAAAGATTGTACCAATTCTGATAACACATGTTTTATCCTTTATCATATAGTGTTTTTAATTGTGAAAAAAATAAATAAATGAGAGACTGTACCTTCGTAGTAGAAGCATATTGACATTACAAAGGTGATTGGTTTTGTTATTTTTTATACCAGATTAAAAAAAAAGGCCGTTTGTGGATGATGCATTACAATCTCTCTCTCTCCATACAAGTGTAATATGTCATTGATACTTTACAGAAGTTCACAAGGGCAACAAAGTGAGGGATCTAATGTAGATTCTCAGTGCATTGATTTATGACAGGGTACTTCTTACAACAATAAGTGAGCTTGCCTGTACTCATTATTTCTTTTCAAAAAAGTTCATGAATCATTAGAATTGACTGGATGTGATAATAATATGCTACAACCTGTTACGTGCATATTATGAGAAATTTGGATATACAAATGTATGATTTATTTATTTATTTGACACAAATAGTGATTTCTCTATTGTAAGAAGAAAAAAGATTACAATGATCCCAATTGGTCCAAGAGTGGAGCTCTCTCAATACTATTGAAGTAAAATAACTTACCATTTATCACTGATTCTTCCTAGTTTCCATTTGGGTTTATCCATTGTCCATGTGACTTCATATGGATATCGCCAAAGACTAAAAATGTAGAAACTCTTGAAACTAGAATAGAAGCAAGAAATGAGTTGATAAGAGTGAAGAAGGCCTCATTTATGCTTTTATATATATTCTCTATCTAAGAGCTATGTGGTGACAATCTATAGGACCTCCAACATATGTCTTCACTTACAAGGCAAGTTTCTTATATGTGTACTATATTGTTAGCTTCTACCACAAGCTATCAATATATGCAACATGTGGCTAATTTGTTGGCCAAGTTTTTAATCTATCAATCACCTATAGACACATATAAAGGTAATTTTGAATCTATGAAGATTTTAAAAAGCTTTTCTAAAAGATATTATTAAATTAATTTATTTTATCTACTTTTATATATTCATATTATTTAGATAACTATTGGCATAATATATATATATATATGTCTGTGACACTTACATGCCATTTATACATACTAGGCAATATTAATCTAGATTTCAATCTATTCTTCCATGCCATACATTAATCAATACAATTCAATACTATATAAGTCATATTAATCTAATTTCTTTTCAAATACATTCTAAATCCCATATATTTAGCTATCTTAATTTAAATTTTTTTAAAAGGATCTTTATCCACTTCGATTCTATTAATGAATGTACTTTATATTATTTTTTAAGGATTGTTTGATTGAAGGCAACCATGTAGCATATAAAAGGGCCTTAATTGCTCCAATTGTATTATCCTAGTTTCTATTTCAATTAATTAACTTGCCCATAGAATTAAAAGATCAACTCTTTTTTGATGCCACCGTCATGTTATGTGTTGACTTGTTTAGGAATGCACCGGACACCTAGCTATGGAAGATGAGGTTGAATTTCACAAGTATCAAAGAAATCCTAATAGGTTTCACCCATACAAGAAGAATATAATCTAAATTTTAATTCAAAAGAGCTAAAAAAATACTCTTCTTAGTAGCCTCAATCACACATAAACATCAATTACCTTATTACTTTCATATTTAAGCAATTTAAATTTTTCTTGTAAGTTCCAATCTTAATCAGTGAGTTTTAATAAGCTGTAACTTCTAATTTGACCAATCAACTTAATATAAAATTTTTCATATAATTGTCATTATAAGTCTTCTATATGTTTAAGAATTTTCAGTCCAATCCAACTTACAAATTGTGAGAAAACCTCCAAAAATTGCAATGATGTCACTCAGCCACCAACTTGAAAAGTAAAGCAAAAATCCCAGTAGTGATTTCTCCTTCTCCAATCATTAACTTTAATTCAAAATTGGTTTGCAGCTTGATCTTTAAGTCCTTCAATACCTTGCCAAATTTCATCTTGATCCAATAAGTAGATCTTTAGATATCACGAAAATCCTATCAAACTCCAAACTACCAACTTCCAAATTCCTCTCATGCTAAAAATCAGATATCTCTAAACCACATTATTAGATTATCACAAAAGTTTGTATACACTTAGCACACTCAATAATCCAAATAT